GGATCTGTGTCGGGAGCTCACTGGGAACATCCCGTATTCCCGCCATCCCGGTTTCCCAATAAGTTCCCGGTACCGGCTGGATTCCGGGATTTGGGCCCAGCCAATGTCGCCCATTGGGGCGTTTCTGGTACTGGCCGGTATTAGTATCCCGGCAAGGCAATACCACCCCATCCCCAACTCGACGTGGTGTGCCCTACTTCTGGAACTAGAAACTTTTTACACAAACTTCAGCAGGAACTTTTATTCGAGATCTGTTGAAGAAAACTGGAACCTTTTTCGAAATAAAATAAACAGTCTCATCAACATTTTTATACCAACAGTCCTTATTAAATCCGACGGGAACCACCCCTGGTTTGATAAGACACTATATATACTGCGAAACAAAAAGAAGCGTACGTATCGCAAAGCTAAGTGCACTGGTCACGTTCAAGACTGGAACACACACAGTCAACTCTCAAAGGAATATGCAATGAAAATTAAACGGGCTAGTAAAAGTTTTTATCTTCCGACATTCCTTCCATTCTTCGTTCTAACCCAACCCGATTCTAGCAACTCCTGTCACCCAAATATCACTCCCAATCTCTGTCGCTGACAGACAGCAATAAAGATCCCATGGTTGAGAACGAAAGCGCGACAGCCTTAAACGACGTTTTCATCTCTGTCTTTACGGACGGAGGCCTTGGCGAAGTAGCATCTCCCCGCTCATTGTCTAGTACCATCGTGCCACCTATTGTCATTTCATCTGCTGGAATAAGTGCCTTAGTTGACAAAACAAAACTATCATCATCTGTTGGCATGGATAACATCACAACCAAGATCCTTAAAAGCACCAATATTGTTTTAAGTAAGTATCTATCACTAATTTTCTCCCAACCACTCTCAGATCGCCAAAGCCCAAAAGACTGGAAAATTGGAAAAATCATCCCCGTCCATAAAAGTGGTGATCGATCACTTGTATCTAATTATCGCCCCATTCCTTTAACAAGCCTTCCTTCAAAACTATTAGTGCATATAATCAGCTCGAACATAATAAATCACCTCAACTCCATTAATTTTTTCTACCCACACCAGCAAAGTTTCCGTAAAGGTCTCTCGTGTGAGACCCAACTTGCAGAGTTTAGTCATGACCTACTTGTTAACACGGATAATAATGGCCTAAATAGATGTATTATTTCTCGACTTCGCGAAGGCCTTCGACCATGTTCCGCATCGTCATCTACTCACCAAGCTTTCAGTTCTTGGTATTGATTCGACTATCATCGCTTGGATTCAGGATTTTCTCACCTGAAGAGTTCAGTTCACATTGGCTAATAATCACAAATCATCCCTTGGTAAAGTAGCATCAGGTGTTCCCCATGGTGCAGGACTCTCCCCACTACCATTCTTAATATACATAAACGACCTTCCTCATGACATCCTTTCGAAAATTAGGCTATTTGCCGATGATTGCGTGATATATCGCCCACTCACAAATGATTCAGATCATCTCATATTGCAGGACGACCTAACACAAATTAATACCTGGTGTGAACAATGGCTTATGCCTCTCAACCTGGACAAGTGTAAAGTAGTTTCGTTTACCCGGAGAAAATCTACAGATACGTATTTATATTCACTCGGCGGCACCCCGATTAATACTTCATCTTCTTATAAGTACTTAGGAGTAAATTTAACCTCAACGCTTTCTTGGGTACCACATGTTGATAATATTATAGCTGAGGCATCACGCACACTTGGATACCTGAAACGTAATTTAAAGTCCCCGCCCATTCACCTTAAGAAACTTGCATACATAACATTCGTTCGACCAAAGCTTGAGTATGCGTCATCCATCTGGCACCCTTCTCAAGCTTACCTCACTGATAACCTGGAACGCATACAAACTCGCGCAGCCCGATTCATCACATCAACTTATACTCATGACATCAGTGTAACCCAACTTAAAGAAACTCTAGAACTACCCTTACTGTCCAGTCGAAGATTGAACTCTCGGTTATGGTTATTGCATAAGTTCTACTATAATTATTCATACTCCCATACCACCCCTCTTGCTCCTCCAGGCCGAGTATCATCACGTCTTAATCACAGTCAATGCATCAAGCATATTGCAGGCAAAACACTTGCCTTCTATTACAATTGAAAACGAGCGTGTTGGTTAATAGATACAAAACTTGAAAGTATAAAACAGAGAGGACGAGGACGAGAACAGGACATCTTTCATTTAGCAACAACATAGAATGGCACAACGATAAAAAACCGCCCCCAAGGGTCTCAGCGTTCTCAAAGAGGGAAAGGAGATACTAGTTACGAAGGAAAGGGAATACACTAAAAGAAAAGTTTGAAAAGCGCATCAGTAATCAAGTTATTTTTCGATTAGTTAGAATTAACCTTGGTCATTGTCAGTGATAATGCAGAATTATTCTTGTTTGCAGTCCAAAAAGGGAATTGTACTATAAATATAAGAGTCTAAAAATCTGTAGCGTCACGACGAGGTGTCAATATTCTAGTTATCTCTGGTGTTAAGAATTCGACCTCTGTCTTTGTCAATGATAATGACGGTGCAGAAATGTTGTTGTTAACAGTCCCCATGGCAAATGACTCGATGATTTCTCTCCCAAATCTGTTGTTGTGCCCTCCCAGTATCCTAGTATTAGAAAAATGAGGAGTACAGTCATCGCATGTGCGGCTGTGAACGACAATGGGGTGATACGACTCGGTTGAAGCCTTTGATGCTTCCAAGTTATGTTCTCTGAGTCGGTGGTTGACGCATCTCCCAGGCTGTCCAATGTACTCACTGCCACAACTTAGTGGAATCGAATACACCTTCCTTTCTTCGCATTCTACGAACTTTTTTGCATGTTTTACATTGCACCCTCGGGGACTGTCGCTGCCATTAACCTTTTTGCACATCTGTTTGAGGCGCATAGGACAAGAAAAAACCACACTCGTGTCGAACTTGGACGCAATAGACCTTAGACGGTGCGCGGAATTGTGCATGTAGGGAATCACAGCGAAACGACCTTTCTTTTTTAAAACAACTTGCGGAAGTTGTGGTTTGATAATGAACCTCTCAAGGGTGGAGCGAAGTAGGTCAGCAGGAAAGCCTGCTTTTTCTAACCTCTGCTGCTGCAACTTGAGGCTACTTTCGGAGAAATGCGTGCATGACTTGGAGAATGAGGACTTGAAAAGTGACCTTACTATTCCATGCTTAACGGACTTGAGTGAGCACTGGTGAAAGGGAGGACTGGCTTCTCCGACCTCTGCTGGAAGGCCCAACAAACACCTGAGGAATGAGGATGCAATCGTAAATCCAGAAATTGTAATCCTTCCACTGAAGGATTTTCCCGGGTAAAAGTAAGCCCTGCCGCACAGTCTTTGAAAACTTCAAAGATGCTGTCAGCGGACGCAGCATCTGGATAAATGACCAAGTAATCGTCAACATATCTAAAAACTAGGCAACCCTGGAAGGACGTTTTCAACTGATCGTTGATAGCCCTGTCAACAAAAAGAAGAAATATTTCGCTAAGAACAGGTGCGAGGCAAGAGCCCATACAAACTCCTTTCTTTAGTCTGTAAATATTTCCTTCGTATTCTACCAAAGTGGACTGTAAATAAATATCTATCAGGTCGATGAAGCCCTCAACCGAAACACCGGAGGAATTTGAAAGTCGCAAATTCCGTGTTCATGGATTGCATTAGTCACAGAATCTAAGATGAGTTTTGGTTCTAGGCTGTAATACATATCTTCAATGTCGAAGGACATAACTGAGTGCGGGATGGAACAAAAATGAAGCGAATCGAAGCGGGGGATTAATTCAAGGGAGTTTTGGACTCTGAAAGGCTGAGGGAGGATGATATTAGACAAATGTTTTTGTAGATAACGACCCAGGGGCTTTTGCCAACACCCAATTTCTGAAATTATGCTCCTCAAGGGAACTCCATACTTGTGAGTCTTTGCAGTAAAGAAAACAGACAAATACTGTTTGGCAGGACTACCAATGACGTTCTTAAGAGAGGTCAAGTTCAAGGAGGAACAAAGTTCCTTTGCCTTCGAACGCAGTCTACCAGAAGGCCTAGTTTTTGGTGACACACTGCAGCACTCGGCAGTGTGTGCAGTGTGTCACCATCCGCCACCTCGGCCAAGCAGGCTTCCACTACGTGCGGCTGTGCAAGAGCTTCGCCAAGAACACTTAAAATTACTTGAATCGGACAAAACGGGTGTTTTTGTAATTTTGGAGGAAAGTGCTTTTAATGATAAGGTTCTTGATGCCTTGTCAAAGAATTTTGAGCGCTTAAAAACTAGGCGTGGTTTACCGCATTCCCTTCTCTTGTGGGCACTGGTATATCGGGCAGACTGGCCGGTGCTTAAACATCAGACTAAGAGAGCACCATAGCTCCTTAAAGGGCACCGCTAATTCGCATCTAGCGATACATTGCAGAGATTGCGGTTGCGAACCACGCTTCGAAAACACCAGTATATTGTTTCAACACCGCGACCAAACATGTCGAGAAATGATAGAAGCCTACCACATCACGAAGAACAACAGTTCGTGTGTGAGCCAACCATCGGTGACTCTAACTCCCAGCGAGATGAAGTTTTTGAATTCAGGGTGACAAAAGCTCCCGAGGAAAGAAAGAAGAAAACCAATCTACGATCGGGGAAAAAAGAAGAAAGGGACATATTTCACGAGGCGAAAAGCAAGCGCGCGAACATTTGACTCCATGTTTTTCATATCATTGTCATTCTTCCTTAGTGTGTAATACAAACCAGTTGATAGTCAGCGCTTTGTCTTGTGTTCTCTTCGTCTCTGTGTCCTCGTCTTAGTCGCGCTGTTTTTTCAACATGAACTCTCACCAACTCGCCCAGTTATCTATCCTTATCAATTTCATTTCTTCTACAAAGGGTTCTTTTGTATGTTCTCATGACTGTCTTTCCAACCCTTCCATGTTATCATCGCTCATTGCTACTTATGTGTGCAAGGCAAGGACGGCCTCCTGGTATGCAAGATCTTCCTCCTGCCCACCGGACCTACAAATCCTCTGCGGATGGTTGGTACCATCTCCGGGTCACTCGAGAAGACTGTGTCGAGTTTTGTGCTCTGAGTGGTGGCAACAAGTCCGCCATTTCAAGGAATGCCTTCGGATCGCCTGCTCTAGAGGAAGGAATCAACACCAAGCCTCTCGTCTTTTAGCAGGATGGTCAAGGACCACAGCACAGGCCACTGAGTTCCTTTGGAACCAGGTTCGTCTTACATTACCACCCAAGAAGAAATCTCATCCAAGGGAAGGTAACGTTGTCGTCTTGGGCGATATACCTGTCCCAGAACCACACCAGAACATCCTGAAAAAAGGACCGAAGTTTTGCTTCGAGCCCACCCTTAAACGCGTAGACAAACTGGTTTTGCCCAGGTTCCTTTCACGGAATGTACCAGAGGAGGACAAACCTAGGTGCATCACCGAATGTGTAGATGTCTTACTGAAAAGTGAAGGCAGCCCCAAAAGATCCCGCAGTTTAGATCCTACGATTAACTTTCTCTCATCCAACAACTTGAATGTTATGCTATCCGACAAAGAAGGCTGTTTTGTAGTCATACCTAATGGTTCATTCTCCGAGAAAGCTCATTTAGCTATCCAAAAGAATTTTAGAGAGGTATCGGAACGTCCAGCTGAGATAAAAAGAAGAACCATTAAGTTTCTCACTCAACTCAACTTAGAGAAAGTCGCGTCAGCAGCCAAGAAAGGAGAAAACCTAACGTTAATGGTGTTTTTCTCCGCTAAAACCCATAAACCGGGAATCCCTTTCCGCACCATAGTATCGGAACGCAACACTTGGCAACACGCCATCTCGGGATATTTACAAAAACAACTAAATTCCCTTTCAATCGTTGACCCTTTACGCATCCCCAACTCCAAGGTTGTTATCGATTTTCTAAGAGACAGCAATCTAGAGGGGTGCACAGCATTCAGCATTGATGTAGAGGACTTATACTACTCTTTGCCTCATGATGACCTCATGGTAAGCGTTCAAGAGTGCATTTTGTAGTATAACAACGAAACTAAGTTTAGAACGCAATGCGGAATAACAGTTGAACATTTCCTTGAACTATTATCCATGTATTTAAAATCTACTTTTATAGGGTGGGAGGAGAAAGTGTTCATTCAAAAGTCAGGTGTTTGTATAGGGTCGAGAGTAGCGCCTGTACTGAGCGATATTTTCCTCGGGAAGATAGGCAGAGCTCTAGTTCAAAAATTGAAAAATCACACCATTAAGATCTTTAGGTATGTTGATGATTTTTTGGTATTTGTTGAAGACTCCAATTGTGAAAAAACACTAGAATACGTCCTTAAAGTATTCCATGAGCTTGGCCAAGGCCTTAGGTTCACTTATGAGACCCCAAAAGAGAGTCGAATTCAATTTTTAGATCTCCTCGTTGAATTTAAAATAGAACACATTTGTTGGTTGTATCATCCTAGAACATCAAAGAGTTTGCTAAACTACCAGTCAGCACATTCGAAACTCGTCAAAAGAGGGATAGTGTATTCCTGTTTGAAATCCGCCTTAACAAAATCATGTGTTCACACAATGGGCGTTAGCTTCACTTCCCAAATTCAAAGGATTAGGGATTCAGGATATCCAGACTCGATTATTTCATCAGCATGCAATAGTTTAATAAAAATCGTAAAGAATAGTTCCAATTCCATGCTAGAAGAACCAGTTAAAAAAGAAAAAAAGAAAGTTTCAGTCATTCCTTATCTTCACCGCATTTCACACGGACTTAAAAAAGTCGCGTCCAGATACGAAGTGAACGTTGTTTTTTCAGCTCAAAACAAACTAAGTAGATTATGTTCTGCTGTATGTGCACGCAAGGAGGGTAAAGCAAGATCAGAATATAACACATGTAAGGTAAAGCATGGGATGCAGTACGTGTCGTGTGTAAAAGGCGTGGTTTACCGCATTCCCTTCTCTTGTGGGCACTGGTATATCGGGCAGACTGGCCGGTGCTTAAACATCAGACTAAGAGAGCACCATAGCTCCTTAAAGGGCACCGCTAATTCGCATCTAGCGATACATTGCAGAGATTGCGGTTGCGAACCACGCTTCGAAAACACCAGTATATTGTTTCAACACCGCGACCAAACATGTCGAGAAATGATAGAAGCCTACCACATCACGAAGAACAACAGTTGGTGTGTGAGCCAACCATCGGTGACTCTAACTCCCAGCGAGATGAAGTTTTTGGATTCAGGGTGACAAAAGCTCCCGAGGAAAGAAAGAAGAAAACCAATCTACGATCGGGGAAAAAAGAAGAAAGGGACATATTTCACGAGGCGCCAAGCAAGCGCGCGAACATTTGACTCCATGTTTTTCATATCATTGTCATTCTTCCTTAGTGTGTAATACAAACCAGTTGATAGTCAGCGCTTTGTCTTGTGTTCTCTTCGTCTCTGTGTCCTCGTCTTAGTCGCGCTGTTTTTTCAACATGAAGACACAGGTAGGCTTACAAGGTGTCGACACCATGATTGTTGTTGTTGGTTTTACTCCTGCATACAAACATAAGTGACTTCCTCTTTCCTCCGATGTAGAGTAAAACCCTCTTATCTTCGTGGCCCCTCTTTCTTCTCGAATCGGTCACAGAGGACATAATCGCAGCCACTGAATTCTGCAAAATTAAAGGCCGCGAAAATGAAAGGTTTAGTGTTCTTCCGTGTGTCACATGATGTGAACATTTCAAGGAGGCTGAAGGTATTGGTTTAAGAAAAAATTGACCTATGAAAAAAAATACCCTTCTCCAGGTCAGGCACGCGAGGTACTTTTGCACTACCTATAAGGTGGCAAGTTTGTTTCGGCTGAGCTTTCGGTTAAACGGAGTCACAAAAGTAGCTATACTTGAAGTCAACTATTTTGTGCTGCATTATAAAGCTAGAGTAAATTCCACTGTGCTTCTGCACAGCACTGTTTGTTCCGAGAGCATATGTGGTTTACTGTTGCATCCCATTTGCATGATCTAGAGAAACTAGCGCTGACAGAGTAGGAGCACTAAAAAAAAAACAAAAAAAACAGCCGACTGTGGAAACATTGAGAGATGCACACATGCGAACTGTGCATTTTTCAAAAGTGGATTCGAGCAAAGGTAAAGACAACATGTATACTTACGGCGGCCATACTTGCCTTTCCCAAGCATGACCACTTTTCCCTCAGTAGCACAATCCAGTAACCACCAGCAACACGCCCATTAGACGCCGCCGACTCATGGATTGAATGACGACCCGCCTGAGGTCTTGGAAGAAGATCCGGAACACTGCTTTAGGCCAGATGCTGTATCTGGAGGGGGCAGGGACTAAAAGTAAAAATTAACAAATTTTTCTGAAGCGCTACATTCCTATAGCATAAACTCTAGGATAGCAGTATTCTTTTTTGAGGTCAGCGATGCATTTTAATTAAACACAAATGGTTGGTTTATATTAAACACAAATGGTTGGTTTAAAAATAAATGGTTGGTTCTACAGTTCTGGTATGACACCAAAATAATTTATTGTTATTATGTAGGCAGCTAGTTTGGTTTGGCGTTCTGCAAACTGGAGATACCGGCACCGCTATGGCTCCGGGTCTGTCTATACTGGCAGCCAGTTTGCTTGCCGATATGATTCGGTGTGGCTGGTATGATTTTGCGTCCGATGACGTAGGCGACCGCCATCTTTCCAACTAAACGCTTATACCACAGGACCACCGGTCTAACCAAATCATACATGCAGAAAGACGACCGATATCTTCCAACAAAAAACGTCCATCGTTTACCACCGGTATCGTTACATACACCATACATGTCGAAAAAGAACAAAAGCCGCGTTTACATGAATGCGACTTAGTCGCATTCAATCCAGTTGCCGCATTGAATATGCGGTCATGTAAACGGCACAATGCGGAAAGAAAGCGGATCGCATTAATGTCGCTAGACACAGGTGGATTGAGATGGCGAGTGCGCATTCATTCAGCCCATGTAAACGGAGATTGCATCGCATTTTGGAATGGGGAGGATTATCGGAAGGCGCTCGCTGCGGGAACGAGTGAACAGCTGAGAACATGGCGGCGGCCAACCTCGTCGGCGGCGCGTAGAGCGGCCCCGCAATTTTTTTCCCTAGAACAAACGCAAGCTTTTATTGCGATAATAAGTAAGCGGAATATTGCGGAGCTGCTCGGTGAGGGTGGCACCGTCCAAACCTTTGCGAAGTACGACTTGCGCGTCCGAATTCTCACAAAGGCTTCGGTGCAAGCACGAATGACACGGAGAGCTCCGAGCACTGAAGGGCCCTGAATGGTAGCGCAGAACGCGCAGCTCCTACCTCGGTGCCGTTCATGGCTGCGCAAGAGCCTCTCGGACTCGGCGTCCGGTTGCTCCGGTCGCGATCGGCGAGGTCTGGCGCGGCAAAACGCGGAGGCTTCCTCAAAGCGCACACACACACGCGCTCTCGTTCAGAGTGAACCGGCGCTCCGGCCTGGAGTCCTAAACGCCTTGGTTTTGATGCTTCTTCAGTCTCCCAACTTCTTCCACAGCACCGAAGACAGAGGGCACGATATTTACGTTCACTGAATGCGTCGAAAGCCCTCCACGTGCGATGCACCTGAAAAGGTGGTGCGGCTGGTGCCGGAACGGAACTGCATAACTTCGAGCCAACGTGCACGGCAACAAACCGATCGTGACACCAAGCCGCGGATACCGCATCCCCGGTCGACAGCGGCAAGCGGCCCGCTGCTCGTATCGTGGGCCGTGACCCGTACTCGGCCAACTCGGCGTTTTTTCGTGGCCCCTCGCGTCGTCGCAACCAGCCGCAAACCCACCAGCCCGGAACCGTAGCCGGCGTCGGAGAAAAGCGAAGCCGAAACGTAAAGCTTCCGCCCGGTGGCTTCCGCTGCCGCGGCTTTTCTAACTTCCCGGCTTCCACGCTTCCGGTTTTCGCGGAGATGGCGACGTAGCGGTGTGCACGTCGCTGGCTGGTTCTACGTTTTACGGGACAGATGTTTTGCGGTCCGTTTCTGCTGCATCTTTGGCTCTCAACTCGACGGCGCCTCTCATAGTTCAACTAGGCGTGGTCAGCCTGGGTCAGCGCGGCCGGCTTGACTCGTCCGATCGCCGGACCTCTGGCGACTTCCAAGTTCGGCCGTTAGGCCTAGGATCCGAAGGTGTCTGTCTCCGTGAAGCGGTAAGTGAATCTCGTCCCGTTTTTGTTCTACTTTTAAATTACGTTAGGTGCGCTACTGTGTAAACATGCGTGCCAAGTGTTCGTGCCAATTTTGAGTTCGAACAATTGGGCATAATCTCGGCTTTTCATTTACCGAAAATGTAAATCGAGGCGATGAAAGAGGAGCCATGCTTGAAAACTATATACGATGTTCACTTGTACTTGGGCGGCTTAAAAAAAGAATAAAACTGGCTATGGCTGGATGCGAGGCTGGTCCCAATGCAATCGGCAGCACTTAGCGCCCCTTTCTGAACGGCATGTAAACAATATAGCGTTCAACGAAACGAGCAGCGACGACAAGCTACGCGTACCGGCGACGAGCGTCGAAGATTTCTCAGTGTCGCTGCTTGCGCTGCTCTGTTCTTGGGCTTCTAGAATACGTCGCTCATCGCCTTGGTCGCTCGCACCAATCGCTTTCATAATCTGTGTCTCGTCGCGCGGCTGACTACCGTGTTTATTCGAATATAAGTCGATCTTTTTTTTTATTTTTTCTACGGAAATTGTGATTAAAGAATTTCGACCATCATTCGCGACCAAATGTTGCGACCCTACCGGAGGCATGGAGCTATCGAGTCACCGAGCCGGCGTTGCGTAGAGCCGCGCCACTTCTTGTTTCAAAAAGCTTTTGGTGCACGAAAACAACCGGTGCCGCTATCGCGCGCATCTCTCGGGCGTCGAGTTTCGCCATCGCACCTCTAGCCACAAGCGTTCCCCTTGCTGGGCAACGGGGAAGGAGAGGAACGCGAT